ATATTTAATGTAAAATATATTTTTATATATATAATTAACACAGTCTAAATAAAATCAGTATGCCAAATAACATGAACTCTGTTACTAAACACAAAGACATGCATTAAATTCTAGAGATTAAAAATGTATACAACTACAAGAAAAAAAGAGCAGCAAGTTTTAAATGTGCATATGCTGTCAAAACAAAATAGAATTCAAAGAGTCCGATTAAAGACCCACTTCAACCCATGCAAATCTGTAGAGTTCATACATCCATCTTATAAACATGAACTATATGCATGCAACTAATAAATTTTAACTTCCTAAAGTTCATAAACCTTTTTAAGGGTCTCAAGATCTTCCAAAGAGTACTGATGATTCTGGTTTTCTGAAAGTAAGTCAAACAGTTGCTGAACCTGTTCTTTTTCATTTTTGCTAAGAAGGGCCAGCACCACCTGAAAAAACAGATTATTTTATAATCAGCACGGGTTGATTGAAAATCATAGTATTTGACAGAGATAAAAAAATCAGTGTTTCATTTCCTTTTAAGATATGAAAGCTTCATTTAAGTTTCTGTTCAACTAAAGTATGCATTCAATCTAAGTTCTCACCTTAAATCTTTCTGCTTTGCTCAAGTAGAAAAGGTGCTGATATACAAGGCCAGGATCTTTTCCAAGTACATAATATTCCAACGACTGAATAAAGATTAAAAGGATTTCTCCTTCAAGTTTGTTACTTAGCAGCACTGGCAATTTTTTTGGATCAGTCATTGTTAAAAGATCTGCACAAGCAGCTTTATCCTTATTGGTATTCACTGCATTTATAATCTGACCAAAGTCATAAGCATTAGATGGTTCAGAAATGTGCAGTTTCTCAGAGCTCTTCAGTGGCACACACTTCTGAACTGCTTCCTCAGAAGTAACATAATCAGTCACAACATCTTCTGATGTAGCGAAGTGTCTCTCTTCCTGTTCGTCAGATTCAGTCACCTTCACAGAGAAAACGGCAACAAATCATTTTAATGTGGACATATAGATAACCTGAAACTTCATAAACTGCATGCATATATCCATCACTAATGTCACTAAATTAAAGTTAGCATTTTACTCTTCTAAAAGAAAGGCACCTATGTTTTTTTATGTCCTACTTCCCCCCAGGAGTAGTACCTCTCTAATTCATCTTTAAAGGTTTGTAGTCAAAAGTGTGTGTTTCTCATTTCCTTTCACTGCTTGGCACTCCACTGTGGAAAGACAACTGAAGACCACTGGGAGAAAGCTAAGGAGGACTGTATGCATATATTAAATGTGAAGCTGCAGAAGACAAACAGAACTGAAGTTAAGTCACCAGATACCCATGTTTCATTTCACTGCGGTGCCTTCAGAACAGTACAGGTACACGGCAGCTGTACCAGGTCGCTGTCTGGAGTCTCACTGTGTAAGGAGAAAGCTCAGCATGGTCTGACTGCCTGAATACCCACTTAACTTCTCCAGAGTCTGCAGCCTGTATCGAGTTTCATGAATCAGTTGCTAGAAAATTAACCATGGGTTCAACTACATTTGCTAAAATCAATTTCAAGCTATCAAGAGCTGTGGAATTAGTATAAACTGACTAAAACTCATTGAACGTGTTGTCTTCAATGGATGCTAAGTTTTTCGGAAAGTCTGAAGATACTATATTGGGTACTACAGCGTTATGCTGGGAACTAGATGAGTCATTTTTGGAAAATACTGCATTGGGCTTATAGATATTTTGTTCTATTTTTTCAACAAACCGTAATATCAAGAGAGAAATCTTGACTGTCTTATATATAATTATAGCTTGATTATAATGGAACAATAATGACAAATCCCGGTTTCCAATCAAATTTTCCTTACTTTCATTTGCAGTCTGTTTTCATAGAACTACCTTGTACTACAGCAGATAAGACAAGGAAGGCTCTCCAAAGGGGCAGCTGTAATTATGATAGCAAACATAAACGCTTCCTGCCCCACCTCTGGAAAAATTACCACTGCCAGTAATGTAGTTAGCTGGTCTCTGAACAATGCAGTCATTTCCCAAACCTCCTCTAAACACTTTCCAGGTCCCTTTGTTTGTCACAACTCAGAGCTTAACTAACACTATACCCAGCTCACACCAGTTACATAAAATCCCATGAACTCGTGACAATGTGAAGTGTTTCAATAAAACAAGTCGTTTCTATATTACCACCATTTTGAAATTACATGATCAATTGCAGTATCACTGTATAATACTGTACAGACTGGTAAACTATGTATTTTAATGATATATTTTAAACAGAAAAGGGACACACCCCCCCAATTCTTGAAGGACCAGCAAAGTTACAATCCAAAAATATCAGATGACTGAGAATATCCTTCCATCGCCTAATCATACCCAGAACTCTGCAAGGCTAACATTTTGATCCAGTACATAACATTACATCATGTATTTCTTTTGTAAGATCCTACAGATATTTTACACATACTCTTGCTCTTTAAGGCGAGATGTCATTCTTCAGACCAGGAACTTTACTACTAGCAGAAGAACAGCCAGCACGCCTGCTGACAATTAACCTTTTGCCAGCACAGCCCCAGAGGCTTCCCAAGTAGCACAGACTTTAAAAGCAAACCTCCTATTTGACAGCTGCATTCTGTAAAACAGTTTTTCTTTACAAGGAGCATGCTCCTTGTAAAAAAAAAAACCCACCATCCTCAAGTTTAGTGCCATCTAAATGTACTTTTTTCCATTTCTGCTGTGGTTCTGAATGCACTTCAAAGCAGTCCAAGCTTTACTAGAGAATGTAATGGACACCAAACACATCATATGCAAGAATCCTCCAATATGCCCTCAAAATAACACGAAAAATAGAACCCCACCCAAAAAACCATGTAGAGCTAACAAGTGCAAAACAAAAGCTTTAATACTGTCTCTTCAAATGTGTGGCTTCTGTACTGCCTGCTTTTAAAAATGAACAGATATACCTCTTGTATGGTTATTTTCTTCCTTTGCTTTTGCTGACCGCCAGCTACAGCACTGCTGTCAAGGTTAAGCAGTTGGGTTACCTCCTCTAGTTCCTTTTTTGCTTCAAGAACATTTGGATCTATTAGAAGTACTCTGTTGAAATCATCAACACTGGCTTGATAATTCTGGAAGTAGAAGGGAAAATATTTTTTTTCATAAACACACCACTATAAAAATAAACCAGAACTACCATACTGTCCTTTACAATTAAGAAAAATAAAAATGCTAGGATCTTGACATTAAGTAGAAAAAATACAGACAGTGTAATTTCATTAGAGGGGAAAAAAGGAAACTGAGGATGAGTTCGAATTAGTATTTTGTGACTAAATACTTCCATACTAAATACATAATATGAAATAAATTATTCTGAGAAAAATATTCCCTGTATCAGAGAACAGATTGCTGCTTTTAACCATAATTGCTTACAGTGTAACACTTCCTCAAGATTAACACAGTGCGAGTCCATCAACAGTTTATGTACTTGCTTTGCCAGTAAGAGAGAGATAAATTATGCTTAGATTAAAAATATACCTAATCTTCCTGGGCTTCACCAATAGACCATCTCTTAGTTGAAGAAGGGAAATTTTTGGTTGTACTTGAGAAGACTGGGATTACATTATGCACTCTGGGATAAACAACAGGATTACAAGGACAAACAGAGTGATGGAGTGGCATTAGGACACAGTTCCTCAATCATCAGTCTTGTAATTTGTTTAATATTTCTATTTCAAATTTCAACATTAGGAATTATGATTTTTTTAGACTAAGTTTTCTGGAGAGACAAAGTTAATAGCATCAATTCTGAGGAAGACTGGGATATCACATAGAAAAATCAAGACACCTTGAGGGCTGGAGTGTCAAAAATAAGGATGAAATGTAAAACACCATGCAGACAGTAAAAGATCAACATAATTTCTTTGTGTGAGGGACCTAGTATTTCTTCTGTTCCCAAGCAGTATCACAAGGTTACTATAAGTCATTCATATTATCATGGCAAAAATCCTCATGTACCAGCTGAGGTATTTCCTCAGCATCTCAACTGTAATAAAAGTACTGTGTACAAGTCACTCATATTCTCTTTCCTACGTAGAATATTTTGTTCAATACTGATGACCAGTATTCAAGGTGCAGAGCCATTGCAGTAAGCCTGTACGTGAAGTCTGCTGTATCATGAAAGAAGAGACCTTATTTAGCCTTAGCAAATGAATGCAGAAAGGAGGCAGATTGCTTTCGTCAAAAACCAGACACTAATTAAGCTAGACCGTTTGAATTACAGATGTGAAGATTCACAACTACAGAGAAATGAGGTTCTGGCACAGCCTTCTGAAAATGATCACAAGGGCCAGCAAACAACCAGCCCTCCGGCATTTAAAACTGCAGCCTGCCAGACTTCTCAACAAAAATCACACAACATGGTTGTACGCAAAGCAAGAGACTGGACTATCAGCTGTATAAGATGCTGTCTGGGGCCCTGTGTCCTATGTTATAGGCCTGATTCATCACACCAGCATGATTTTTTCCTGATTTCCCCTTAACTACATCTCCCTAAATCTATAAAAAACCCCTCATCTACTACATTAAATTCCACTGCAGCTTTTGTGGTTAAATATCTGGCTATTTATATACAAATAACACTTCCCAGCTTAGTTAGGTCTTTGCCAAACTACGTGCTTTTAGCTCTTAAAATCTTTCATTAGAGTAATTTGTCAACCTCAAACCATTTCTGTTACTTTCTCTGGTTTTACAAATCACTCACATCCCTGGAATTAGCAATAATGAAGACACTAAATCCAACCACAAAAAAACATTTGGGAATCCCTAGCTCAGACTGCTCTGAAGAAATCCATGAACAGTATGTTTCAGGTTATGTCTTCAATAATACAAAACCAGTATTTTTTCTAGGATATTCAAAAAAGCAGAAGTTATTTCACCAATTCTTGACATTCTTCACTAGTGTGTAATTCTCTTTTTTTTTGACTGCTAGAATCACTACACCTTTTCTCATATTTATACTAATTTTTTATCAACTTCAACAACATAAGGTTACAGATGCCAGGTAGCTTGGTACAGTTACAGACAAGATTTTACACAAAATTAAGACTTTTCACCTTCTCTGAAAATTAATCAAAGGAAACTTTCAAAATTTCATAGCTACTGTAACAGAGGAACAAATTTATCATAAAAAAAGAGATCCCACCATTCCTAAGACTTGCATTTGGAATTATAACACATGATGAGAACAGGCTAGTATACTGCTATGCACGAACAGGTGTCCTCAGGTGATTTGTAAGCTGAGAGACAATCAGGTAATTTTTTGTTAAGGCATCAAACATAATGGAGGTCCAGGGTAAGTATTCATTTGACGGACACTGCTGGAACTTGGTGGACGCTTGAAGTGATCACCTCCAGTTATAAAGAGCAACATGGGAGAAAGCACTTAAGATACTTGTTTAAAGACACATGTATCCACAAAGTAGATGATGATAGCTGCCATCACGAGCCAACAGAAGTGAGAAGCTAATCATTCAATATCAGGTAAGAGCTGACAGGTAGGGTAAGCATTGCTATGAAAGAATTACGAAGTGTAAAGGCTAATTAACATCACTTAAGAAGGGGAACCAACAGAGGAATGACATGGTTCAAGTGATGGAACACGAAATTTTGCAGGATGAATATGAGCAATATAAGTCTGCATTTATGAAGATAAGGTAAAAGGATACTCAAAAAACCAGTAAGATGAGCACAGTACAGACAACATCACCAATGTGTAGACAGAAAGGAAAAGGTTGAGTCCCCACACTGTCCAGAGAGTGAGAAAGCAGATTACTGACAAAGGTTTCCAACATGTTTGGAGAAGAGAGTGAGAATGAAGATAATTAAAACCCTGGTTTAATATGACAAACACTCAAATATGAGCAGATGCCAAGAGACAGCCTGAGATTTTAGTTTGGACAGATGAAGACAGACTTGGAGACAATCCATTTGTCATCAGCAAAGATATAGTAAACACCTTGACAGAAAAAACAGACTGGGATACCCAGAAGAATACTAGAACATTAGAACAGACTTGAAACTTGCTTAACCAATCTCCAGTCACATCTCATTTATTCCAATATTCTTGTATTTTCTCAAATTATTACAAGTCAACATGCAGGTTTTTATGTTGCAAAATTATTTATATAGTATTTTATGTATGCCTAATGCTCTACAAAATAATAAATCATCAGCACTGCACACTTTGTATTCACCCATCAACTGCAACTACCTGATTGCCTTTGAAGAGGATAAGCAAGTTTAGAAGTGGTTAAGAATACCTGCTATGTTCTTTTTCCTCACCTGTAATCCTTTGTAAGCTAGTGCTCTTCTATAAAAAGCTTTAATATTAGAATCTTCTATCTGAAGAACATGATCACAATCCTGCTTAGCCTCTTCATATTTATACAGTTTCAAGTAACAGAGAGCTCTAACACAGAAAAACAGAATACACTGCAATGTAAGTAAATGCTACAGTGGTGTAGTGCCAACAGTATCCGACTCATAAATGTTAATTACAATACTTCACACAATTCAGTGTCAATGTGGTGTTTTTTAAAGTACATCAAAACCGTAAGTATTAATAACATCACCAGATGGATTTAGAGGCCCAATTCCTGCAATAAAAGTCAAAATTCAAGTATGACTAATGCTTGAAGTTAGGCAGATATGTAAGTATTTCAAAAGTAAAGCCTATGTTAGTATAATATGATAGTATAGTAGTGGATACAGTATAGATTTTATACAGCCTTTCTGGGTAAAAAAAGTGCTCTAGATTAAATAAGCAATACTGCTTTCTGCACCTAAGTATTACTTGGAAGTCTCCTATTCAAGTACTGGCCTAATCAAATCCTTCTTAGTTTGTGAAAGCTGACTGATTACAGCATAAAGAATTATGCTGCAGAATTAGGTCAACCTTTAAAATAATGATGCTGTATGACCGTGTTCCTACTTTTATTTTCTCAAAATGTGCATTTTCTCTGAACTATTTCTCTTCATATTTGAGATACTGCTACTGCACGTTAGTTTTTAATATCACACCAGTATTCTCAAAAAATGCCGCAAAATGCTATGCTAAATATAACTTTTACTATCACTTATTCTATTTACATAAAGATTTTAAGATATGTATCAGTGACATTAATACTTGCTCCCCTTGGAAAATAATGCAGTTTAACAAAAAATCAATTTTGTTATTAAAAACACTCAGGTGGAAAAAAAGTCCTTTTTTTACAACAGTAACTAAAGTGATGCAAAATCTCTATTTGCAGTGAGAAAATAGAACTTCTGTTATCCCACAAAGTGGGGTTAGATTTTGGATCTTTACCTGTTAGTGTAGATTGTACATTCCGTGGTATTTAACTTCATGCATTCGCTGTATTTATTTACAGCTTCTTCATATTTACCCTTTTTTACAAAGTCATTCCCTTCATTTTTTAACGTCTTGAACATCTCCTCAGCTTTCTCACCTACATTACAAGAGGATCACAATATTACATAAGGTCAGTTCTTAAGGGTAGCTGAATAACCTACCCAGACTAAGAATAAATGCCTGGCATCTGGAGTATCTTTATCAGTCTGCACATTGCCATTTCTTTCCCAGATCTCCCTGCTGCTCTAAGAAAGGCATAAACTACCATATATATATTTGGCACAACACATATTTCCCCATGCACCGGGGTAACTATTTTGCTGAACGTAACGGGAATGTAACAGACAGCTCTACACTTTCACCTCCTTCTGTCTACCCCTTCTGTGTGGTAGAGAGGGACTATCTATCTTCACTGAGATAATCAGTTTCATTTACAATGGTGGAGATTTAATCAGCAGGATTAAAGGCCTTCCAGATCTCCAGTGTCACACCAAGGCAGCCATAACTTGATCTAATATTCTTCCTGCAAGCAACTATCTATCAGCATTACTATGCTAAACTGACAATGACAAACAAATCATCACATCAGTAGGCATTAGTGATACCTCAGTAATACACTGTTAATAAATATTTATAAAAGATGTTTCAAGGAACCTGAAAACACCTAACTATACTTTTTTTAATTAATATTGTGTTCTTCCATAATTGTCTTTCCTTCTAAATGCCACATCATTTGTTACATATGCTTCTGGGTTAGACTACAATTTTAAGCTATGTTTGCATTGGACATCCTGGCTGCAGTTTCATGTCTCTGTTGTGAGCAAACAATAATTAGTAACATAGCTCTAAGCCAATCATAATGGAAAAATATACTTTTTGTACCTTGCTAAAGAATATGAGCCCCTTGCCAAGCTTCAGGTTTTAAACACTGTATATAACCAGATAATTTTAACCAATAATTAAACTCAGTAAGTTCATTTATAAAAACATGGCAGTCTCCTATGCCAGAAAACTACACATGGACTTGGGGAAATAATTAACTAACAACATGAAAGACCAGACTTAAGCAAGAAACACAACTAAATTGTAACTCAAGTGGTAAGATGCAAAAACCAACAGACACTTGTTGCAAAGAAGTGTCAGTCAACAGTAAGGTTTAACTACTGACTGAACATTATTGCTGGCACGCTTCCGGCACCAGCTATCACTGTCCGGTCCCACTGCTTTAGTATAGGCCTGCGAAAGCAACCGCAACCTTAGAGTCAGCCCTCAGTGAAGAAAATGGTTACACAGTCCTCATTTAATATTTCTAAAAACAAAGCCTAACCAAAGCCCACCCTATTTGAAACAGATCGAAATGTATTTTGCATCAAAATGCCGCAGAGCATGCTTGATGAAGACGGTGAAGTGACGGTCTGTTTCATTAGCTTGTGTAACAGGCTAAACATGATCACTAGTGTTCTCAGGAGCCACTTATCTATGTACTTTTCACTACAATGATCTTCAAATTCTCTCTCTCTTAACAAAATTACACAAGGTTATATAGATCCAAATTTACTACCTAAAAGGTTTAAATAGGTTGGTTATACATTGAAATAAAAATCCAACAAGCTGTACTCTTTAATAACAGAGAAAGCCTGGAGTACGATCAGTACAACAAAAAGTGCTTTTCAAGCTAAGCATTTATGTTTAACAGCAATGATTGTGCAAGATAACAGTTTTCTACTTCAAAACCCAAAAGTTAAACCCAAATGCTGCCCAGTCCTTAAGAGTGATGAATCAGTAATGACATGTACTGACAACAACTGTAATGAAAATACTTGTCACTGGACGTTTAAAAAGTAGAGTAAAATTTTTATCAATTTAACTGAGCTTGAATTATACATCAACATGCCTCGTTTCTTAAATGAAAAACAATTTTCTGTAGCATTACTGAAGTTTAGTATGCACTACTATTCAAATACCCCACACTATTACAAGTTCCTAGAACTATGTGTTATTCTCAAGAAAAATGTCCAGGTCTCATCAACACATGTATTTGTAAGCTGTCTGTTGTTTTACATCAGGTACAAATAAATTCAATGGTATCTGAAATATCCTTTTAAAGTCATTAAATCTGTAGTGCCCAAGAGTGCAGATTATTTGAGGACATGTATTATTGCAGTAATGCATTATGGACAGATAACCCTACCATTGCTACATATTTGGCCAGCAACCCAGTTATGCATTGCAGCTTCTCCTGTTAGTCAAGGGGAGATTATCTTCAGCACTACTTTTCTTTATATCGAAATAAACTCAAAGGGGAACCAATTAATAGTCAAGTAAGAGTAAAAAATAATACAGTTAAGGCCTTTGCAAAAAGAATGTTTAATGTCAATGAGATCTGAATCCGAACAGTTCCTTCACCTGATTTACTGGAGGAGAAAAATAGAAACTGCAATGAAGGGAAAAAAAATCAGGAGGAAGAAAGTGTCCTAAATCAGTTAAGCACTCAGTGCTTATGTGTAAGCAAGTCCAGAACTGACATCTTTGAAAGCTGACTACTAAATGGCCACTGTCAAAGTTAGAATCCATCGTTTAAAAAAAAAAAAAGAGAGAGAAGTGTTTTTCTACAGCCCATTTCATTAACTCCTGGCCACACAGAAGCCTACCTACCCGTTCTGTTCTGAAGAGCTGAGCAATGATTTAATGAACAATTAAATGACAGCTACAGATTATGCAGCTGATTATCTTACAGAGGTTAAGTGTTTGTTCGTGTGGTGGGTTTTTTGTGGAAAACTGTTATAACTGTAGTATGATGTCAGGGAAACCACTGATACTTGTGATAGGACTGCTGATGAGAATTTCTGCTATATTTTCTTTTATTTTATACAACTTCAGAAATTACATGCTGCAAACTACATCATTTGGCTTAAAAAAATTTATCATAACTGTGGCTCCATAAAACACATTAAACCCAATCATGTAAATAATCATCATCTAACTTGGCTTTTCACAAAGATGTCTGATGAATATTTCCTAAAGCAGTGTCTTTGACATTATTACATAGTATTCCATTTTTCAATTCAAGTTATTTTCTTTTTTGTATATATATTTGCATTAGCTATACATACGATTCATCTGCAACTGTTCTTCTGTGTTGGTATCTGTAGTACTTCTTGGCTTATTTTCTGAAGTAAAGTTTCCTCCATTCCACCTGTGTAGCTGGACAGCAACTGGGACAACTGGAATTGGTGGCAGTTTCTCCCTCCAACTGGGACCATCCAGATCTATTAAAGTCTTTGTTATTCTGAAAGAGAAAAGCCCCACCAACGTGACTTTTCATATATGTAACTCACGCTTTAATAACTTGCACCCTAATTAATTAATGCAATGCTCTAATTTTTCAGGAAACAACTTAACAATTATCCTTAAGATGAATTTAAAAAACGAATGTCACAGCAGTCAACGGTATTGCCCTCATTCAAGATTTACGACTTTTTCCCCTTTTTAGACTATTTATGCTAGCATTTAGAAGACGTTGACTTCAGCATGATCTGTAAATATTGAAACAAATGACTGATTTTGCAACTAAGCTCTAAATGCTGCCTACCACATGCAATGAAGAAACAGGAATAAAAAACCTGATGTATCTATTTTGTTTACTTTTCTCAGCTGCTCATAGGTGTTATTCGTAACAAGTGTAAATTATAATATCCTCAGACACAGTGTGGTACTTAATTTTGCCAATGTCAAATGAAACCTCTTACACAACAATTCTCTAAATAACCGATGCAGGTCACAAAGTAGGTATTAAGTTGTATTTTATAGAATAGTCAGAAATTCGTCAATCAACCATTCTTTATCCCCATTTAAAAATGCAAAGAAAATACATTAAAACTGTTTAGTCTTTCTTAAACCAACACATACATATATATATA